TCAATAATCCAAAAGAGCGTTTTCTAACGAGCAATTCAGTACCACACAATCGCTAGTTCATCACTCAAATGAAGCATTTCAACTTAATTCATTTCGCTCTAAATTAAAAAGTAAAAATTTTAAAAATTTGGAGATGAATTGTCAAAAAGTGACAAATGAGGTATCATATTGTACTCGTAATGTAGTTTTCTATTGAAATAAGGGAAATATTCCTGGCGTCTCATTTAAAATAAGAAAGTTAAAAGTTACGGTCACTTCCGGTCAAATATTGCAGATCTGGGTCATAAATAAACACACCAAATTTCATTTGTTTATTTGGAAAAATAAAAAAATTTTAGGGGTAAGCGGGTTTTGAAAAACACCCGGTATTTTCCCATAGCGATTTCAGGTAGTTTACCTGGTACATACAAGTATAGGTGCTTATAAAGGTGATCCCTCTAAATATGAATGCCATAATTCAAATTAAAAATTGTGCACTTTTTGGAATAAAGATCGTTTTGAAATAAAATATTGTATTTTGTTCCCAGTATAAGTATTCTTCATGTGACTTGCATGGATTTGATTCGCCTCGCTGCGCTCGGTGTTCAAACTTTCATGCGCGTCACATAAGTATCACTGAGAGTATTACCAAGTATTACTTATGCTGCTAATAAAATGAATATCTATTTTCGCTCCTAATACCTAGATTTTGACACTAGACCGAAGTCTGTAGGTTTCATAGTTCCTGGCAATACTAAATAATTCTGAAATCATCCGCCATTTTCAAAAATGGCGCACAAAAAACAGTCGCGCTAAATTTGTGATGTCTACCCAAGTTAAATCACTTCTCTAATACACCTAAAATACAAATTCAAAAATCGTTTCTCTGAACAACATTTTTTTCATGGAATTATCCTGTGGGAGCATAACAACAGTAACTTTAATTGAACTAATTCACTAATCACTTGCAGTTAACTCTAGGTATAGATATGTGATATTTTACGTTTCATATGCAAACTTGGATAGTTTGTAAACTAGCCGGATAGTTTACAAACTAGCCAACCCATTGGTTATTTTGATAGAAAACGCAAGTTTCACTAAAATAGCAGATAGTTTGCAAACTGACCAAGAGTCTTGGCTAATTTACTCGAAATTATTGAGAAAACTAAATTAGCTTGTTAGCTTATAAACTATACAATGCAGCTTGGCTAATATGAAAATAGTATATTGTTTTATTAGGAGAAAAAGTGATACTTTTTGTGGCGAGAGTAATAAAACATGCGATTTTTCTGCAAACGGTGTTCAAAAGATGGAATCAAGGTTAAATTTCTGTGACGTCACTTTTTTGTCCGGCCGTGAGCGTACAAAATAGTTATTCTCCTAACAAGTGCGCAAAGTGTTACTTTTCCGCACGCAAACACAGTGTTTGCGTGCGGAAAAGACACTTTGCGCACGTGTTAGGAACAAAATTTTTCCTATGAGCTTCATATCAGGTAGGTAACAACAAAAATTAAAAAAAAAAAAAAAAAACAATAATTTGTTCAATTATTTTTAACGCTGTGTCTAGCCTCCCGGCACCGGTATGCATACGAATCCCGGTTATGACGCGTTTTCGATGACTCCATCAACGACCGCCGGGATTTATCGTGGGTCCCGGCTATTGGATTCAAAATTCAAAGTCGTGTTTCTCTTGCTGCTTGAAGCTGTGATTAATTCCGGAATAGCTTTCGTGTATTATTGTTGTGATATTGGTATTAGAGTGGTAAGTTCTTCGTTAATCCACTTTTCGTAGTAGTGGTTTAAAAAGGAAATAGTATGGTTTATTTTCATTCATTATTCAGGACTATAGCCTTTTTAACAGCCTGTATCTCTGAAATAGGGTACTCTTGGACCCATGTTTATAGGAATTTTTGCTCTTAATTTGAGATGTAGAATACGCAGTTAAAATATTAACCTCTAATTTTGGGGCACCCTGTGTAATGTTGCTGAACATTAACGGCCCGGCGTTGCTGTACAAAATCAAATGCTGAACAAACTTCCAAAATGACCCTGTACCTACATACCTATAATAAAAAGTCATAATTTTATTTTCCATTAATAAAAGCCTATCACGCCCGACTTTGTTTACTTTTTTTACTCTTCATAATAAATCTGCCTCAATACGAATGAACATAATAACTATTAACATCTTGTATAGCAATAGCCGGGATCCACGACAGTTACCGGTGGTTGTTGATAACGTCATTTAAAACGCGCCATAACCGGGATTCGTATGAATACCGGTGCCGGGAGGCTAGACACAGCGTATTTTTAATTAACTTGAAGCGAACCTATTCATTCATCAAAAGAGAAAGTTTGTAGATTCTTGCATATAAATAGAGAACAAATCTGACAATGTGTCAAAGTTAATAATTATATTTTGTGTTTGTATAGATGTCGGCTGATATAGAAATAGAGGAAAAATTTGTCATCATGTGTCAAAGTCGACAGGTGCCTTTATTGTTGCTTGTCAGTTATTTTTACTTTTCGGCACTCAGTGCGGATACAGGCCTTATCCGCACTGGGTGCGGAAAAGTGTAACTTTGAGGACCGAAATGCGTGCGGAAAAGTAACACTTTGCGCACTTGTTAGGAAAATAACTATTTCTTACGAGCGTGCGCAAAGTAGTACTTTTCCGCACAGTCGGATACGTGTTTGCGTGCGGAAAAGACACTTTGCGCACGTGTTAGGAACGACATTTTTCCTACAAGCTTCATATCAGGTAGGTAACAAGAAACATTTAAAAAAAAACGATAATTTGTTCAATTATTTTAAATTAACTTGAAGCGAACCTAAACATTTATCAAAAAATTAGGTACCTAACAAAAAAAAAAAAAAAATAACAGAAAATCCTCGCCAGAGCTGTTCATCTTAAAGCGTTTAAATTTGATGATAAAGTTCGTAGATTCTTGCATATAAATAGAGAACAAATCTGACAATGTGTCAAGGTTAATTTATATTTGGTGTTTTGATGTTGGCTGATATAGAAACAGAGGAAAAATTTGTCATCATGTGTCAAAGTCGACAGGTGCACTTATTGTTGCTTGACAATTATTTTTACTTTTCGGCACTCAGTGCGGATAAGGCCTGTATCCGCACTGAGTGCGGAAAAGTGTAACTTTGAGTCTGGAAATGCATGCGGAAAAGTACTTCTTTGCGCAAAATAACTATTTTTGTACGCTCACGGAACGTCCCGACAAAAAAGTAACAAAAAAAAATGACGTCTGTGAAGTCAACCTTCAACATTAGGAATTGAGGTTAAAAAAGTCGTCATTTTTTGACGTTTGCTTAAAAACATAATTTCTACAAACTGTAGAAATTATGTTTTTCCGACATGAACTCATGAAATGTAAAATGATGACAAAACGATGAACTACAGTTTATTTCTTCCCAAGATAGATTTTGACATTGTCAACTTTGAAACATAAACAATGCCGCTAATGCCGCTTATTGGTTGCAAAATTCCATTTGCACGACATGCATTGTAAAACTGATGTCAACCTGCAGGGACACCTCATTTTGCGACCAATCAGGGCCAAGCGTTATTGTTTATGTTTCAAAGTTTTCAATGTCAAAATCCATCTTGGGAAAAAATAGACTGTAATAGGTAACACAAAATAGCCCAACCTTTGGCTAGTTTATAAATTAATTAGCCAATTTTCTGGTTAATTTACAAATAAAGCTAGGTTGCATGGACATTTACTAGTAAATGTCCATGCAAGCTAATATTTTGCCTGATTTTTTTACTTTGAAGAATATAATTATATTGTGCATCAACTCGTTTCAAATCGTTAATGTTTAATGAAATAATAATCAGATTTTTGTGCATATTATCTAATTTCTTTGTAAAGTTGGGAATTATTTGCTTTGTTTTATAGAGAACTAATAAAGAGGCGTTAAATTTGTCTTTGTGATCCATTTTATTAACAACAACTATTGCTGTGCTGTTCCTGTGAAATATTAAACCAAACCCGGCCAGGACCAGCAAACAAAAAACAATAACATTCCGTATTCAAAACGTAACCTATCTTTATTTGTAAATTAGCCAGAAAATTGGTTGGTTAGTTTATAAACTAGCTAAATGTTTGGTTAGTTTATAAACTAGCCAAACGTTTGGCTATTTTGTATTACTAGAAATCTTGGTTTTCAAATTAGCCATGCTGCATTGGATAGTTTATAAATAACCAGCTAATTTAGTTTTCCCAATAATTTCAAGTAAATTAGCCAAGACTCCTCGTTAGTTTCCCAACTAGCTGCTATTTTAGTGGAAATTGCATTTTCTATCTAAATAGCCAAGGGGTTGGTTATTTTGTGAACTATACAGCTAGTTTACAAATTAGCCAAGTTTGCATAATAACTGTAACAAATACAACAATTATTTATTTCATTTAAAATTGGTTGCAACCTTAAATTGGTAACGAATTCTTGAGTATTCGCGTAGGAACCAGTCGTGCACATCCGAGTCGGCTTTTCCGCTACAATGTAATTTCGTAAAATCGCAATTAGATCGTCTGGTCGTTGCGATCTGACCATCTATGCTGGTAATAAACATTCACCCTGTCAAGATGTACTCTTCTACAACGTTTATATAGAATTTTTAATACCCATTTAGAAGTACCAGTCGTTTTAGTGACTAAACGTATGTCGCTTCTTGAACAGACAAATAAAATTAGGTTAGGAATTACCTATTTGTACATGAATTTGACGTATTAGCAATCGACATTCGTTTTTGTTGGTAATATTTTGTTTCATCTGATTCATGATTGATAAATAAGGATGGGGTTATTCTAAATGGGTACTAAAAATACTATACCTCCACTCAGATCCATAAGTTTTAGGTATAGTACTTATAATAAAATGATGAGATTAGAGTATGTAGAATCCCACGTAGAATTTCACCATTTTGCATTGACATTTTTGTCCTTTTGCATTTAGGAACTGTTTTCTTTTCATAAATAATAATTGCCTATTTTTATTTTTAGTATGGTATACTACTTATAGTAATCCTAATCATGGAGATTGCTGCTGGATCTTTAGCAGTCATTTATAAATCCAAGGTAACACAATAATAAAGATAAAAGCCATTAGGAATTGTCATTTAATTTTTTACATTTTCAGGCTGAAACTGAAACCAAACATATTCTAAAACTCTCACTAGAAAAATATTACAATAGCACTGATACCAAAGATGCTGTAACATTGGCCTGGGATGCTTTACAAATTGAACTTAAATGTTGTGGAGTAAGTTTGCTAATTTTTTTTGTTCCTGTTTGTTTTACAATAATTATTGAAATAAAAGATCACAGCAGGACATCTATTCAAGTTTTTAAATAATTTGCTGATGTTTCTAGACTAGGCATCAGTATCTGGGTTAAAGAAACCAAAGAAAACATCGATGATTTAGAAATGTATTTAAATACAGAATTAATTGGTAGGTATAACCACAGAATAACAAACAATTCACTGTTTGTTATTTTGTGGTAGGTACTTATAACTATTTGTTAGATGTTATGAGTGAAGCGGGAGTGAGAGCAAAATCTAGGTGCGGACTATTTATGCCTTTGAGATGAAGTCTGTTAAATTTTTAAGGCACCTCAAAACTAACGCAAACTGATGAATACTAGTGTCCTTATATAATATGCTGATAATATACTAATTTATAGACCAAAGAACATTTAATTGATTTGCATGATTTCGATTCACTCAAAAATTTCTCCATAATTTAATTCAATATTTTTCCATAATCTAAGTAACTACACTACATATGTTTTAAAATTATTGTATCCCTCAGTTTTCATCAATTCTGATGATGGTGACAGAGGCACAGTGGCATGTGATTTGAAAACTCGAATAAACAATAGTCCAAATATAGCTGTTCTTGAACTCTTTTAAACATTTAAATGGATGATCAATTAGTTACTGTATTCTTAGGTTGACAATGGTGAAGATTACCAGCGAAACGAAGCATGGAAGCAACAAAGTTACATCGTTCCACCTTCATGCTGTGCCCTGAGTTTTGATAATAAACCTCTGGATCCAAACTGCGTGACAGCTCCGAATGAATCGAATTCGTATTATCGAATGGTAAGTTGTAATTTTTCTGAAAGGAGACAATCATAGATACTAAATAATTTCAATTTTAGGGTTGTTACCAGAAAATTGTGGATTGGGTCATGATCAATATGAATATTATTATAATATCTGCTGCTGTCTTAGCATTGGTAGAAATTATAGGAATTTTGTTTGCGTTTTGTCTAGCAAAATCCATAAATAGATATGAAAAGTAAATTCGATTTTTTTAAAGATTTATGTTAAACATGCTTTTTTATAATTTTGTAAATATTTAGACCAAATTATGTTGTCTAATTTATAAAAAAAAATCCTAGTTTGTATAAGACCCGAAATTATTATTTTTCCAAAAACCTTCATAGCATAAATTCGAACGGCAATGATTTTAGACCAGATATACCTACCAACTATATACTAGTTAGTGATATTAGTAAAGAACTGAGAACTGAAATGATTAAAACGAACAATGGATATCAGTATTTTTCATAATTGTACTATTTGAAACTAAAGAAATCAAAACAATTTGAGTGCCTTTTATATAGGGATCAGTTGAATTTTTCAAAACTAAAGTTAACAATATAATCTAGTCATATGTCAAAAATATTGTTATATTTATACTTATACCTACCTTATGTGTGTATTCAGGCCTGCCTGATTATCGAAATAAATGTAAGGAGATTCAATTTTGTATATAATTATTTTATAGGAAAAGTGAGTATGTAAGATTAATTATTTTTATTTGTTAAAGTTCCCATGAAATAAATGAATCCTTTAAAATAGTTATTAATTTTTTTTTTTTGTCTTCAAATTAATAATAATTATTGCATATACATAGTTAGTAGGTATGTAGCTGCAGGCTGCATTCGGTAGTTCGTAGTTCGAATCTTTTGATAGGTGATCGGCGTTGCTACAGTCATCTTGTGAAATTATCTCACCTAAATGTGACTCTTGATGCACCTTGGACGTGACGATCTTCTTCCTCTTTAGCCATTTGAAGTCCAACTTAGATAATATTCTTCTCTGATCTGTGCTGTTGCTTTAAGTCTAGTCCAGCCAGATCATCGACTATCGACCCATCTTATCTGAGGAGTTTCGATAAATACTATTGTTCCACCTTTGGTCCTTCTGCGTTCTGATTAGTTCTGATGTATTCACCAGCATCCAGGACGTTCGTTCTACTTCTTACGTATTATTGTTTTTCGAACAGCTAAAATTATTTCGATCATTCACTCCACTCTTTCCATGGATCTGAGGCATTAGCCAGTTCGGACATGGTGTGAAGTTCCTTGAATGTTGTAGTGGTAAGAACTATCTCTCCGATAAAGCTGAGATAGGTAAGTTTTCTACCATTATCATTGATATCTATACTATACCTACTGAGTCTAGTCCAACAATCGAACAAACAAACGAAAAAATAAATACCTCGATAAAATAGTTATTTATGATATAAGTGTTAAAAGTACATTTTTAAGGCACGCATGTGAAAGTTTGCAGAATGAGCGAAGCGAATTCTGCAATTCACATAAGTGCCTTAAAAATACTTTTAACACAAATATCATACAATATTTTTTCTACAAACGGCAATAAAAAGCAATAACCACTAACAAATTGGATTTTTAAATGAATAATAAATTGGAAGCATCTTTCCTACATAAAATTCTTGAATTTGACATTTGTCAAAAAATCCATACAACCAGCACCTTGTTTTACAGGTAACAAAATGTCTTGTCAGTTTCTTGAAAGTATGTCGTGGTCAGGAATGCTTTTTGCTAAAAATGCAACAAAATACAGAAGAAAAAGAGAGTTGCATCGATCCTTCGAAAAATATAGATGAGGCGGCCAAACGGGCTACCTCAGTTGTTCAAATTTCACCATTATTATCAATGTAAATAACTGAAAATACAAACTTTTTTTGACGTCCGCTCTCAAATTTTGATGTTCCACTTTTAACACTAGTGCTATAAAGACTTTATGGCACTAGTGCGATAAAGTAACATTTTTAATGCTTCGGGGCGGTGTTAAAAATTGCATTTTTAACACGTTTGTAGAAAAACATATTTTATTTTCAAACGTCATAAAACAGTAATTTTCCAGATCTTTTTGACAAGGTATAAGTGTCACTTCAATGACTTTCAGCTTGAGCGGCGTATAAGCACAGCATATACAAAAACAATCAGCAGGCTAACTCTCACGCGCATCTTTTCTGCGCACGCCGCCATTAGGGGATACCATTTTGTCATAATGCTGTCATTAAACGGCAGGAGCGCCGAAATTTTATTTTATTTGTTTATTTCTGACGGAGGTCATAGGCGTGCGGTGTAGAGCAGAATTTTAGCTATGATTTTCAAAATGATTTTGATATATTCGTGTTGTCATTTATGGTGTTATGTGTTATCATTCTTGTATATTCAATTATAATAATAAATTAGTAATTATAAACATTATTATATGTAAGTAATAATAAATTCGTTTATTTAAAGCCAATACGACTCTGTCACAGGAAAGAATAAACCAAAATTATTGTTAATCAGGCCCTGTTTCGTATCCCAAAATGGCCTCTAGTGACATTTTGACGATGAATTCCTTTATTACACGGGCTGTCACTCAAGTTAGCCTGCTGATTGTTTCTGTATATGCTGTGGTATAAGTGTTATACTCCGCCGGAGCCATAGTGATTTAAGGTAGTTTACCTGTACATACAGGTATAGGTGCTTATAAAGGTGATCCTTCTAAATATGAATGCCATTATTTAAATTAACAATTCTGCACTATTCGGAATGAAGATTGTTTGAAAATAAAATATTGTATTTCCTTCGGAGTATAAGTATTCTTCATGTGACTTGCATGGATTGTTCAAACTTCCATGCTGTTGCAGCAATCAAGAAAGCCAAGCTCCACGATGGCAGTCAGACTTCTTCTTTGAAACCTGAATATGATCGACTTGTGGGCGTGTGAAGACTGAAGAGTATCTCCCAGTTCAGAATTGCGTAAGATGTGGTTGAGGATGTGATAACTGGGAATTCAAACAAAGAGGATTTCTGGAATAATCATAGGAAAATTATCCAAGTTTATTTTCTAACAACCAGTAACCATGGCTAGTAACTAGTGAAGATAACAAAAGAAATGGAATATAATAAAAATATACCTTGATAAAAATAATGACAAAAACCTGACATGACAATATAAAAACTATGGAACAATCTACCCATCCTATAAATTTAAACGTTGAGGTGCTTTTATAATTCTTTTGGGACGCTCATTAATATTCAAACTAGCAACCTTACTATTTTCTTTTAATAAACACTTTGCTTCTTTAGTTTCAGTCATTATTTTTCTAGGACTAAACACTTCACTAGAAATGGATTCAATCACTGGTTCAAAAATGTCATTTTCGGGTTTTGAGTCACAGTTAGGTAAATTTGTCACAGAAGAGGAAATACAATACTTATCAGATATTAAACTATTATTTTTGGCTGTAGGTGCATCATCCAATGTTGCCTGCTTAAAATCAACTTCAGGTTTCAATTGACTGTTCAATATTTGGTTGATGTGCCTTTTCCAAATCATATTTTCATGTAACACTTTACATAAATAAATTCTATCACTAAGAACTTCATCTATTTTAGCTTCGACCCAAGCCTTTTTATTCGGGTTTCTGAAATCTCTACATAATACACTATCTCCGTCCTTAAAAAGCTTGTTTCGTTTACCAGGATAATTTAGAACATTCTTATCAGACTTAACACTTTTTTCTATCAACAAATCAAATCGGTTTCTAATCTTATGCTTGAAAACTAAACTACTTGGTGTAACACCTGTAGTAGTGTGTACTGAATTTCTATAATGAAACAAATATCTACTAATTAGAGTTTCAAAAGAGACATCACTATTGGCATCTTCTTTAAATGCTTCTGAAATACTACTTTTTAAATTTTTAACTACATTTTCAGCGAAACCATTAGTCGTAGGATGATACGGAGGAGAGGTCTGATGTTTGACTCCATTAAAATTTAAAAATTTAGAAAACTCATCAGAACAGAATTGCGGACCATTGTCAGTTACTACAACCTTTGGTAGACCAAATCTAGCAAAACATTCCCGAAATTTTTCAACCGTACTCACCGCATCAGTGCTTTTCATGATAAAGGATTCTGACCATTTAGAAAAAGTGTCAATAATAATTAAAACCATCTTAGTTTTAATCGGACCTAAAAAATCTGCATGTATACGTTCATAGAAATAGTTTGATTTCACACAAGGAATTAAAGTAGATTTATTAGGTTCTGGTCTACAAGTAGAACACATACGACACTCAGACACAACTCTCTCAATGTCCTTATCAAGTGAAGGCCACCAAAAATAAGACCTAGCATTAGCCTTCATTTTACTAACCCCTTCATGGGTGCTATGAAGCTCTAATAAAAGCTGTTGTCTTAACTTGGTAGGTACAATCACCCTGTATCCCCAAAGTAAAACTTCATTATCAATAGACAATTCAGATTGTCTAATAAAATAAGGTTTAAATAACTCATTTTTGGTATGCCCAGGAAAACCATGTCTAACAAAATTGAAAATTTGACCCAGAACAGCATCACGTCTAGTCTCTGACCTTATTTTATTAGTATCAATCGCAGTAACTGTGTCCAAAAAATTCAGGTAATCATATTCAATCTGCTCAACTGGCTCAGACAAAGGCAAAGGTAATCTACTTAAAGCATCAGCTTTGACATTTTCTTTACTGCTTATGTACCTTATAGTGTAATCAAAGCCACTAAGAAACAAAGACCACCTCTGAAGTCTCCCTACTGCCATTTTAGGTAAAGTTTTATATTCCCCAAACAAAGTTTGTAAAGATTTGTGATCAGTTACTATCTCGAATTTTCTACCAGCTAAATATTCATAAAATTTAGTAACTGCCCAATAAATACTTAGTGCTTCTTTATGCACCATGCTATAATTTTTCTCAGCCTTAGTTAATACGCCAGAAATGAAACTTATAGGTCTTTCAACTCCATTCGGCATAACATGCAACAGAACCGCTCCAATGCCATACTCACTACTATCACAAGCTAAACGTAAAGGTTTATTCTGATCAAAATGTATCAATATACTATCAGAAAGAATACTACTTTTAGCAAATTCGAAAGACTTATCACAAGCTTTAGTCCAAATGAATTCTTGCTCTTTTTCTAAAAGTCTATACAGAGGCTTTAAGTTATGAGCCAAGTTAGAAATAAATTTAGAATAATAATTAATCATACCAACGAAAGCACGAACCTCCGTTCTGTCACGTGGTCTTGGAGTTTTTAAAATAGCCTCGATCTTCTTATCGTCCTTCTCCAAACCCTCAGCTGTAATAGTATGACCTAGATAACAAATTTTATCTTGAAAGAAAACACATTTTTTCGCATTCAATCTAAATCCAGCTTTTTGTAACCTAGTCAAAACTTCAGTTAAATTTTCCAAATGTTCAGCCTCATTTTTACCAGTCACAACAATGTCGTCTAAATAATTAACAGTACCCTTACAACCCTGCAATACTTTCTCAACAATATTCTGAAAAATAGATCAAGCCGGTTTTGTTCCATAATAGTCAACCATCCAAGGACCTTTTTTTTCAGTTATACATGTAAACCCCATACTTTGTGAGTGGCTTGCTTACATCAAGTCCTACAACTTTTCCTCTACGACTTTTCTCGGAAATGGCACGTATGTGCGCAGGCGACTCGCAAACATTTTAGGGGTATCGGACTCCCCCAATTTGCCATTATTTTTGTCGGCCA